TGGGAGCGGGGCTCGGCGCCGCCCCGCCTGCCGTGCCCGACCCCTTCCGCAGCCCTCCCCAGCCGCGGTGCCCTGCTCTGCCCAGGGCCGGAGGCACCGCTCGTGTTTTGTGGTGCGATGGCGGCCGCGCTGAGGGCAGCCTGGGTGCCGCCGCCGCCTGTGGTGGTGCTCGTCCCTCCCTCATCACCATCGGGCCCGGACACGACAGCCAGGCCAGGGCCGCTTATGGTCACTGCAGCGGTGGCACTGAAGAACACGGGGTTGATAATGGGGAAGGTGCTGTCTGGAGCATCTGCTGTCTGGAGCAGCTCTGGGTTCAAGGGCTCCACCTTGGTTTGGATTTTCAGACTCCACTGGGCCCTCGCGTGTGAGGAAGGGTGTTTTTGTGCCCCAGGCTCCTGAAGGGGAGGATTGATGGTGCTTTGGAAGGCATCCTTCAAGCAAGCGATGCTGCCCACTTAGTTTGAAAGTTTTTTGTCACGTTATAAAGCACCCATTGTACAAAAATCTGCGTCAGTCACTCCACACACATGAGCAAAGATTATAATCCATCCCCATTGCCTGGAGACAGTGGCTGTTCCTACAAACAACCCAAGTGGGTGGAAGTTTCAGGAGCTGCAGAAGGACAGGAGCCTGAATGTCGCCGTAGAGTTTAAATCTACAAAGTCTTCAAATGTGGTCTTGCAGAGGGATTTTCATCTGGTTGGACATGTGAGGGTGGTTTTTCTTCTCCGTTTTTGCAAAATGGACACAAACCAATGAAGAAAGTGGCTGGTGCCAGGCCTGAGCCAGAGGCCTTTGAGGTCACTGGCAGTCTGTCACTGCCCCCGGGTGGCTTGGAGCCCAGCCCGGAATACCAAGGGATGCAGAAAACAAGTAATTTCATATCAAAGTGCTATCATATGCTCATAAAAATAGAAGGAAAATAGAGATGTTTCCTCCCCCACCCCTTGCAATCCTGTGGAATTACCATGATCGGAGCTGTCGCCTGGAAACCCTGACCTCACTGGGAGTGCATGGATCCAGATGCCATGGAGTGCCCTGTGACAGTGAGTGGGACCACAGTGGGACAGGGGGCAGCCACATTCCAGCAAGCAGGGGGGCTAATGTTTCAGCAGTAACCCTGTTAGGGAAAGCCCCCACTCCACTGCACCCCAACAGCTGCAGCGCTGCTCCCCCCCCACCACCAGTGGCCTCGTCTGCCCTTAAAATTCACTGATACTCAACTGGCAACCGAGCAACCACTCCCTTTGCAGGTACACAAAAGAGGCCTTTTATGAGTGTCATTTTTACTAGTATCCAAAGCCAAATAACACAGAGTAGAAAAATCACCAGCAGCCTTTTGTCCCATTCACCCCTCTCTCTAAACTCCATTTCTTCTACCAGATTTTCCTGGCGGAAAGTATGGGATTGCAGTTTTCACTGCAAATCGTGTCAGACCCTGAATCTTTCTGTCTATCTTCAGGTGATCAGAGGCTGCAGACCTGCAGCACAGCTGGTGTCCTTGGCCCTTGGCTGGTCGAAACCCTGGGTGACTCAGAGGGTTGGGAATGTCCAGCAGGGTTTATCTCCTGGTGGGATTGACTGCAAAGTGAGGGCAAGGCCTAAACTGTGCTGCCTGTTCAGGCTCCCTCTGCTATTGATAGGAGGCCTCCTCACAGGACAAATCTTGTCTTTACAATGTCTCCCAAGCCCTCAAATCAGCAGTTTCTGAGCCAGTTTCTGGAAGAGAAAGGAAATTCCCTTCTCAATTCTCATAGCCGGGATCATTTTCAGCTATGTCGCCTTTGCCTGTGTTGCAGGGCAGGACCTGCCTCAGAGTCCCTGCTCTCCAGAGGGACCTTGGACCCTGCACAGTGGCAAAAGGGATTGATGAAGGCAAGATCTGAGGCTGGGAAAGGCACTGAGAAAGGAGAGAAGAAAGAGACTGTAAGTGGCAATAGATCCTTGTGGGGCTGGGAGGGAAGGAGATTTCTGTGCATGCTTAAGTCACGTGTACATTTGGGCAAAAAATGTACCAGGAATTTGACAGTCTGAGGGCATGACAGGATGCAGCCAGGCTGAAAGCAGGATGGTCTGTGGGCATGAGAGAGCCCAAGCACAGTGGGAGGCTGGTGGGAAGCAGGGACAACACCAAGCACATGGAGCTGCACTGGGAAGGTGGCAGGGTGGGCTCTAGGCTTGCTTTGTGGCCTGGCATCTTCCAATTGGAGCTGGAAAGCTCCTTCAGGCCCGCTTCCCTCCTTCTCCCCCCTCCTGGTGCCGCACTTCCCCTCGTGAGGGAGGGCCAACAACCCGTCAGGATTCCCATAGGAAAGGGGCTGCGGAAGGGCCTTGTTATCCTGACCTGGAACAATGCAGGCCATCCCCTGAGCTGCCTGCGTGGACCTGGAGCCAGCAGCCTCCCCTTCCTCCTGCCCTCGGCCGCCGAGAGCACGGGCCTGCCTTGTAAACAAATTGTCTTGCTCTGTTCCGGTGGCAGCTGCACTTCTGGGCGTCTCATCTGGGAAAGGCATCAGCTGTAGGATGAAAGGGGATGTGCAAGATGTTATTACAAGCAATTACTGTAAAAGAGGGGAAACTTTCCCATGCTAGGAACACATCTCTCTTCTTCCCAGAACGCAGTGAGACAGGCTCCTCTGCCCCAGGAGTTATAGTCAAACAAGAGCATGATCCTCCAGCTGAAGCTGAAGGATCAGGGTCCAGCCTGCCTTCCAAAGTAAGCATGTGCTACCGGGTGTTCCAGCTGTCAGGGCAGGGCTGGGGCAGGGCCAGCCTGGATAAGCCCTGTGCAGCTCCATCCTGGGGACAGGAGGCACTTGCCCAGCATCAGAGCCGTGTTTGTAAGAGCACCTTTAGCCTTTGAAGAGGGCATAGGGAGGGTGTGACTGGGCCAGGACCATGCATGAACCTCCGAGCCCCTGCTGCCCCAACTGCCCGGGCAGAGGCCTCAAAGGACATGTCATTGGTGCTGGGATGGAGGAGCAAGGTGTTTCTGATGCCTTTTCCCTGAGGGAGAGCTGCCCCTTGGGAGGTGTCAGGTGAACGAGGACTCTTTCTCCCAGAAGGAATTTTGAGAGCACCTCTTCTCCTTCCTTGTCTCTGAGACTCGGGGAATGCACTCACCTTCCTCCTTGTGGTGGGCCAAGAGGAAGGGAGGGCAGATGGGGATTATTTCTAATCTGGAAGCTGTTCTCACTCAAGGTACAAGGCTGAGAGGGGATCCAGTTTGCTCATTTTGGGTGACAACAAGGATGAAGGGATGCAGAGAGAAGGTCTCACTCACTTGCTGTGGAATGGAGAGACCCTCTCCTCCCTGGGACATGTGGACCAGCTCTCCATCTGCTCCCAGCTGGTTGGATGGTCTATTTTACAAACCAAACATCAGGGAGGGTTTGGGGGTCCCCATGCCCCGATCATCTCCCTAGATGTTCCCTTTGTATGCATCAAATCCCATTTCACCTCATTACACCTTTCTGCACCACCTTTAGCAATCCGCACAGAGCTCTGGATCACCTCCTTCACACCTCCATCCGCAGGCTGTTATCACATCTTCCCTGCCTCCCAGTGCATATTTACCCCAGGAATCACCTGTCCCACCCAAAACCGTCCCCAGCTCTTTTCCTCTATCATTATCTCACTGAGAGTTAGGCAGACAGGAGCAGGCAGGGTTCTCCCCGGTCAGACACCTTCGGGGGACCTGGACTTCTCCCAGGTGAGCAGCCCGGAACACGCCGTGGGGCTGGCCTGGCGTTACTTCCTTGCCTCTCCGGGAAGGGGAACCCCTCCACCACAGAGGATGAGCTGTGGCTGGAGTCCCACCAGCACCTGCTCCCTAGGGCCAGAGGGAGGGAACGGGTTAACCTCCCGGGGACGTAGTGCAGCCCATCCTGCCAGGGAATCTCGCTTCTGGGCAAGTTCTGCCCTGTACAGGGTAAGCTGGTTTCCCGCCGCTCCAGAGGGACCGGCCGGAGGAGGCTCTACTCCGAGGGTGTCCCAGAGAGCCCCTTGGTGCACCACGCCGGGGCAGACCCGGACCTTGAGGAGGAGCTGGTCTGCTCCCGGGCGCCATGGTCCCGAGGTGGAGCCCATCTGAGGGCAGACCCCGGTTTGGAGAACATGCACCGCTGGGGCACATCCCACCAGGATGGAGCACGCGGAGAACACACCGTCCTCCGGCCAGACCCCACCGGGACATCCGCCCCGGCCCCGCCCCGGTCCCGCCCGTCCTTGTCGCGGCTGCTGACGCCGGGGGCGGCCCCGCGCCCGCCCCGCCCCGCCCGCCGGACCAACTTCCATTTTAGGTGCGGGAGCGGCGCGGGCGCACGGCGGGACCCGACCGACGCCGCGCTCCGCACACACCGCCCCGCGCCGCCCGGCGGGACCCGGCCTGACCCGCGCCGCCGCCGCACCGGGCGCCCGCCTCGCCTCTCGCCTCGCCGCCGCGGCGGGACCCGCGGAGCGGAGCGGGCCGGGCGGCCGTGCCGCCGCCGCCGCGGGGCGGGACCGCCTGCCCTCGCCCGTCCGCCGAGGAGCCCGGCCACGGTGAGTCCCGATCGCGGCGTCCGTGCCGCCGCTCAGGGGGCAGAGGGTGGAGGGAGCAGAGCCGGTGCGGGCCGGCGCCTGCCGGGCGCCGCACGCCCCCGCGGCGGCGGCGGGGCGGGACGGGCCGGTCCTCGCCCGGCGGGGCCGGATCGGCGCTTGGCCGCGCTCTCCTGCCGGGGCCGGTAGGTACCGGGTCCCTAGAGTCCCGTCCTGCCCGGGAACCCGTGCCAAGCGCGGCCGCGCCCCGCGGGACCGGTGGGGCGTCGGGGCCCGGCCCTGGCGGGGGCGCTGGCGGCGCCCGGGAGCCCGCGGGGAGCGACACAAAGGCGGCTGGGCCGGGCGGCCGCCCCGCTCCCCGCCCGGGGCCGCCGCCGCTCGCCCTGCCCGGAACAAAGGCGGCCCGTGTGCCAGCTTCCCGCGGCCGGCACCGGCGGGCCCCCCCGCCCTCGGGCGGGGAGCGGGGCTGGGTCCCTCCGCGGGGTCTCGGCCGAGGCACGGTCCGGCTTTCCGACTCCGCGTCCCGCCGCCCAGTTCGGCTCTGCCGCTCTCCGCAGGGGCTCCTCGCCCGGTGTGTCGTTCGCCTGCGCCTTTGTTCTGCCGGGGAAGGGGCCGGTGTGCCCGGGGGGGTCAAGTGTGCGGGTGGGGCTGCGGCTCCTCCTAATGGAATCGCTCTGAGCTTCAAAACAGCCCGACAGGCCCGTCCACCCGAGCTCACAAGCGACTCCGAAGTGCTTTCCGAGGAGGCAGGACGGTGCCGGAGCCGACCTCGGGGGTCTGCTCAGCCGCCGGTTCGTTCTGAGTCTGCCTTGGCCACACTGTCATTTAGCGACAGCCCGGCTGCCTCCCCCTGTCCAGCGCTCGTCCTGCCTTCTCCGGTGACCGTCCCCCGGCATCGCTTTCCCCTGCACGGTGGGCGTTCCTATGCCTCTTCGGAGCGTTGCAGAGAAGAGACTTTGCTTGGGGTGAGAAAGTTTGCGTGCCTCTCAGTCATGAGGGCTGCTGGCATCTGCGAGGCACCCGCGCGCTGGCAGAAGGGAGGTGGGGCACCTCCGTTATGGCCCTGGGCTTTGGGCGAGGGAGCCTGGACAACAAAGCTTCCTCTGATTGTTGGAGAGAGCAGTGGACCTCCTGAAGTGCCTCCCTCTCTCCCCAAGGGCTTGGTGCCCTTGCCCTTCCAGGGAGCCAGTGATGATGGGGCTCACAGGGTGTTATTTTGGGGGCCTGGGCTGTCCTGTGACCAGCTGGAGCTGGAGGCTCCTCTCCCAGGCTTCTTCCCAGCTCCCGGTGAGCCAGAGAAGAACATCTGGGCACATGGAGTCATGTGATTGTATTGAACTGCAGCTACCTGTAGTTTCACTGATGCCCTCCCTGCACTGCACAGATGCTTTTGGACTTGACTGTCCAGGTCTTTGGTGTGGAGAATTGAGCTTGTCCTCAGCTTTGCAGGTGTGCTGGGATCCTGTAAGCCATGCTCACAGCTTCTGTTTGGAGTTTCAGCTTCCATGCCCTCTCTCCTGGATGTGGCAAGGTAGGGTCAACAGCTGGCTGGTGACTCCCAGGCTCCTGCCTCTGCTGGAGCTCCTGCCAATGGAGCCGGGGCCATGTCCAGCAGGTCAGTGGCAAGAGCCTAGGCAGGAAAATTGTTAGTTGTCTTCCCCAGAGTTACCTTGTCTGCTCCATCCTGCTCCCAGGGCTTTCTGGAGGCAGGTTCTTCACCTGCTGGTGTTTGCTCATGCTCTGTCAACAGCATAAAGGCAGTTTTTAAGGATTTGTTCTTCCACTTGGTTGAGTTTGGCTGGACTCTTGAGTGTGCAGATGACTGTCCTTTGCCGTGTGCAGCATTGCTGGAATCTCGTGCAGAACCTTCCTGGAAGCAGTGGGAGGATGAAAGCGCTCGCTCAGTGGAGCATGCAGGCTTGCCTGGACTGCCACAGAGGGCTGAGCCTCCTCCCTTCCGACGCAGAGGTCAGGGCCTGATCGTTGTGGTTGAGGAGCCCTTGAGGCCATCCCTTCCCTAAAGATGGGCTGGGAGTCAGATGAATGGTCCAGCCCAGACCGCAGAGCCGGTGTCTGTCCCTGGATTGCCTCTCATTTCTTCCCTCCTCCGGCCTCTGGCATGGAGATAAGACCTTGGCCCATTGTATCTGCAGTGGAGGTGGCTTTAGGACACCCAGAAAATAATAGTGTGGCTTGGATCATGCCTGGAAGGCTGTTGGCTTCTCAAAATAACTTACCAGTGTCTATGGCCTTAGGGGGAAAGTGCTGGGTAAAGCTCTTGGTTTCTCTTCCCAACAACCCCTCAAAACTGTCTCTCATTTACTGCTGGCAAGGACAGAGCCCTTTCCCAAGACTGTGGTGATGCTGTCTCCAGGGAAGTACAAAGCTCTCCTGGCTCTGAACATTTGTGTCTCTGCAGCACTGTGGCTGTGTCCTGTCCCTGCCTTGCTGACGGGGAGAAGCGGAACCTGGAGCTGGTTTGGGTCAATAGGAGACAACAGGTGTTGCCTGGATTTGATGACAAAACCCGAACCTGGGCAATTCAGGCACTCCTCTGTGTGTGACACAGGGCTTGGCCAGCGGAGGAGGTTGTCCTCTGGCACAGAGTTCAGGAATGTGCCTCAGTGCTAGGCTGTCAGAAAGGGGTTGGATTGACGGGCTCTCGACCAAAGTCCTCGATTTCTCTGAGGTGGCCACAACCTTCTCTTTGCTTTATATAATCCAAGGAGACTTTTTGGGGGAGGAAATGGCTTCTTAGAGCAAGTTCTTGTCCTGGAAACCCCCAGCAGCAGGCTGATGAGTCTGTCCAGCTCCCGCCTGTCTTGTGCTTGTTGCTAATCCGCCTTCCTTCCCTCCAGGAAGGCTGCCGGTGTTGGTTTGGCACAGGAGTGCCTGTCCCTCTGCCCTGTCCAGTGACTGCTGCATGTGGGGCCTGACCTCTGGATTAATGGGCTTTGTTGTGTTCTTGTGTGCCTTCAGCCTGTTGGGGGGCTTGGGTATGGCAGTGGGCGCAGTGTGATCCTCCCGTTTCCCTTTGCCTGTGGAGGAAGCAACTTTTCCCTGTGAGAAATACTGCTTCCTTGTGATGGCCTCTGTAAGGAGGGGTGAGATGAGTTGGCTCTGCTGGGTGTGGGGGCAATCCAGTGACTAAGGAGCACAAACTGCCAGGCGTGGTACCAGGATGGGCCAACCCTTAACCAGGGTGCCCGTCACCTTTGCTTTCGTCTGCTCTTCCCAGCCCGGAGCAGCTGCTGGCTGGAGATTGGCAGTGGGACATCTGCCATAGATCTAAGTATGGACCTTGGACTGAGGTGGAACAACTGGTCCCTGCTGCCCAGCCCTCCATGCCAACTCCTGCTGCCTTGAGGGAGATGTGCTTCCCTGCCAGGGGGGCTGACAGGAGTGGTGGGTACCCAGGAACAACTAGTGCCAGTGTCCCTAGCCTCGTGCTACAGGTGCATGGTGACTTTGCACTGCAGAACTCTTACCCACTGCAAGAATGCTTTTGTGCCCGTGCAGGCCTGAGGACGTGAGCCAGGCTTACCCCATGTTGGATTTTCGCAGTTCTGTGCCCAGATGTTTGTGCTGATGAGACAGGGAATTTCTGCTGTGGTACCAGTCTTAGTGGGATGCTTGTCCAGCTGTTCAGCCCAAACAGAAAAGGGTCCAGGCAAATTGGGCTAAGGGCCAAGCCTTGAGAAGAGCTCTCCCATAGCCTGACCAGGGTGGTGGTGCTCTGGAAACATCTGCAGCTCCAGGACTTGTATGAGGTGCCCCTGGATGGGCTGGAGTTGGTGGCAGCAGTGTGCTGGGCTCCTGTGTGTGAGGGCAGGAGCTGTTCCCGTACCTCCATCCTGGCCCTGACTGCTCCTGTTCCTCTGGGTGTTGGCCCTGGTCGCAACAAATGCTGCTCAAAGTTCACTGGCCCTCCTGGGCACACCTGAGCTGTACCTGCCACTGCTGGGTCCCCGAGGGCTGGGCTGTGGGCATCAGGCATGGGGAGAAAGCCAGAGAATGCAGGAGCGGGCAGTGGAAGGGTAGCTGTCTCTTCTTCCTTGTCTTGCACAGCTTTTGCAACTGTGAAAGCACCTCCTGCACAGGAGAGTGGTTACCTGGGGGAGGGAGCAAGGTGGCCCCATGTGTGACAGTTGGATGGCCTTGGACTGGATGAATATGGGGAACTAGTTCCCGCCCACCCAGAAGGAGGAAGGCGTCTTACTGTCCCCAGACAATCCCTTTTCCTCTCACCCCCATCTCGTGTGGCGCTGGGGCTGGTCTGTTCCGAGAAGAGCCCCTGGCTCACTCAGCTGCTTCCCAGTGCTCCCGGACCTGGTCCCGGCCCAGTCGGAAAGGGGAGGTGGTGGTGCTGGGCTGCATGTGGGTATCTGCTGTGGGTGGGAGGGAGTGTGTGGAACTGCAAAGACGAGTTTTTCCGACCTGGAAGGGTGGGTCACCGGGGGTGTTTGCATGCTGCTGGCAGGCCCCTTGCCCAGTGGAGTAACACATTCCTGCGAGCGTGTTGCTGCATGCAGGGCTGCTGCTTGCCATGATTGGCTTGGCTGCGGGCAGGCCGGCTTGCTCCAGGGGGAGAGATGTTGTCCCCCTCCTGCTCACTGGGGTCTGAGGGGGAGGAGGTGGAGAGCCCAAGTTGTTTCTGGGAGAAATCCTCTCTGATGTGGGGAGCCTGCCTTCTCCAGGTTAGCTTTGTGCAATCCTTACTCTCGCTCCTCTTTACTGCCTGCTTTTACCTCCAGAACACACTGGTGTGGCAGAGCCACCTGCTCTCCCCTGATCTCTGCCCAGGGTCTGTTTCCAACAGCTGGCTGTGCTGGAAAACCACTCACTTCCCTTCTCCATTCTCCTTTCAGCAGCAAGGAGAGCTGCCCTTTGAAGGGCAGGTGGATGGGCCTGCAGAGCAAAGCTCTGGCAGCAATGAGAGCTCTGAGAGGACTCATTCCTGGCTTCCTGGGGTGCTCTGTTCTGCCTTCAGGAGCCTGGGCAGC